CCAGCTCTACACCTTGTTATCTCAGATTCTCCAGCATCGGCAGTTCCTACAATCTCTGTTATATTTCTCGGTAATTTGGTAACTTCTGCACTTGATGATGGATTCATATTGTGAGAAGCATGCACTAAATCAGGGCATATGTACTGCTCATTCAACACAAAACTAGTAAAACTGGAAATTTTTCTGCTTGTGGCCAATATAACCAAACAGCACTCAGATGTGCAGATTACTTTTTTAATGACAATCTCTATAGTCCAGATGTAAGTGGAAAATACTTAAATTCTAGTTATGTCACATTTTTATACTTTGAAAGTAAATGGAGTTTTAAATTGTAATTGTAGATGTAACTAAGAATCATGTTTAAAAACTCAGCAACCTCATTAAATTTTTACATGAATGGTGGTCCTTAGTCTTATTCAGAAGGTCAGCACTTTGCAAATTCCTGGGAATGCCACTTAAAAATTAAAGTTTTAAATATGTAATCAAACATTCACTACAGCTGTTTTATTTATAAATCTACTGTAAATGAAGATTCCAGATTAAGGAATTACATTAGAGTTATTAAAATCAGCTTTATGGGTTTTCTTTTTGCCAAATCATACTTTTGAGCTCTTCAGTGACCCAACAGAGATCTGAGCCAAACAGGTCTGGACCACTCTTCAAAATTTCTGAGAGCAAGAGGAATCATAGAGTGATTCTGAACAGAAGGAGGCCATTCAGCTTGCAGTCCCTCTTTGGTAAACTGTCCAATAAAGCCTACTCCTCTGCTCTTTCCTAATAGCCCTGTAATTTCTTTCCCTTCAAGCATTTATCCAATTCTGTTTTGAATGTTCATATGTTTCCTCTTCTGCCAGCTTTTCATTGCATTACATTCCAGTTTACAACAATTCTATGGTTTTAAAAGCTTCTTTGTGGGTTTTTTTTTGCCAATCGACTTAAATCTGCAGTTACAGTTTACTGACCCTTCTACCATGAAACGGTTTCTCCATAATTACTACACAAAAATATATTCATAATTTTGAACACTTTGATCAAATTTCCCAATTTCCCCACAGTGTCCCAACACAACTGAAGACCCTTATTTCTGATGTAATTCGAATTGCTTCTACGATCTTAAGATTTTTCATAAGGTGCAGTACCCAGAACTGAGCACAAGCTCCAACTGATGCCTAATCAATATGTTTTATAAAGGTTTAATGCAACTTCTCACTTTGTACTCCATTCCTGTATTGATAAAGCGGAGAATCTCTGGGTCCTGTGATTTTCCTCTTAAAATGTTTTGCAACCTGGTTGCCACTCTGAAAGATTCATGTCTGTACATTTCTCTCTTCCTGCAATCATTTGATATTATACTATTTAAATCACATTGACTTTCCTCATTTTTCCTATCAAAATGCATGACTTTACACTTCTCTGCATTAAGTTTTGTTTCTGTGACTGTTCATTTTGCCAATTTAACTTTACCTCCCTGTTTCTGTTACTATGGGGCATTAGTGACAAGGCAGGTTCAGCTGAGGTCTGCGAGCAATTGGTTTATTTGTAGGGGAGGGATGAGGCAGTTGTGGCTCAGTGAGACCTTCCTGAGGGAATATTTCCTTTTGAATGCTATTTTTAGCAAAACATAACACCGGGGGTAGACCTCCACTGCATTGAGTCATGTAAGTGCTATCAATATTTGATGTCTCACTTGTCAGAGCAGTGGGAAACATGCAGATAATTTTGCCTAAGTAGTCTTTAAGTGCAGCACCTTTCTGAGATGGTCACTTTTGTTGATGATAGTCCCATCTGCCATAAACTGTACTGAGGCATAAAGCATTCCACCAAGAACGCCTCTTCCTCACTCTTTCAGATAATCAACACTGAATTGAGCAGTGAGTCTGGACAACTTACTTCAGAAAAGAAGACAAATTGGAGAGAAAATGATCAATTATAATACACTTGGTAATTAAATTAGAGGGCTGTAAATAAGACTATCAAAATGCTATTTTAAACGAAAGTACTTTAATTTATGTTTATTTCATTTACCTGTATCTCTCGCATTTTGAAAGCCATTAATCCTGAAATTCTGTTTATAAATAATGAATCTCCAATTGTCAACCTAAATCATAATAATTGAAAATAATAATAATTTTTCTGAAGAAGGTCCCGACCCGAAACATCAACTTTCCTCCTCCTCTGAAGCTGCCTGGTCTGCTGTTCTCCTCGAGCTCCACGCTATGTTATGTCTGACTCCAGCATCTACAGTTCTTACTGTCTCATAAATAATATTTGTCATTTTAGGTCTGAAAGTTGTTGCCCAGACATTCCCAGAAGGACTAACCACTGGATCAATTCCACTGTCATGCCAGCCTCCTGTTCTTCTGCCATCTCGCCAGAGGCAGTCAACACCTCAGGAACCTCCACGCCCTGCAGAGGATAAATTCCGATTTGCTAAAGCTGATTTGAACAAGATCCAGCACTACCTAGATGAAATCCTACTGCCAACTAACTCACCTAGTAAGGAAATTCTAGAAAATGAACATTCCATTAAAGGGAATCCAAAAGCTCACCACGTGCAAACATTGTTTAACAGAGAGGTTTGAGGTGGTCTCTGCTTGCAGTACTATACATTCTGGGTCAGATGTTGTGTTTGAGCACTACAGTGTAGTTTGGCAAGAGTCAGTCCTGCATTATTGAAGATAGACATCCTTTGTATGAGATGCTAAAGCTGTCTATGAATGATGAGATTAAATAGGCCCAAAGAGCTTTCCACACATCCTTTTGTAAAATGGCTGAGATAAAAATATCAAACACTAATCAGTGAGATATTCAGGACAGCTTCAAAGAATAAAGAGAATCTCAGATCACCTGCCCTACAAAGGTCATTTGTATGTAAAATATTAGGAAGAATCGACTTAATCTAATGAAAGCCTTCTTACTTATTTAGCAGTCTAAATTTACCATGTTCCTATCTATTTAATCATAATCAACAAATCACCTCCTCTGCACTGTTGTTTCTGGTATGGCCCAGGACCAGTCTTTGGCTACTGAGTAAACCTCAGCCACATGTTGCCCTTCATTGATACCAGTTTTCACATGGATCATGATCACACCCGGCTGTACCTCACCACCATTAGACTGGTTGTCTGACATTGGATATGCAAAAATGTCTTAATTAAATAGAGGGAAGACATAAACACATTGCCTCTGTCCTGCACTTCCAATTCTACTTCCTAACTGATTAACTCTATTCATCTCTCTGACAGTTGTCTGAGGCTGAATCAGATGTTTGCCACCTCAAGTGTTATATTTGATTCCAAGATATGTTTCTGGCCACATATCCATCTCATTGCTAAGATCACTTGTTACTACCTCCATAACTGCTTCAGTTCATCTGTTGAAACCCTCACCTATGCTTTTGTTACCGCTAATCTTGACTATTCCAACAGGCTGCTGATTGCTCTTCCACATTTTGTCTCCTGTAAACTAGATTTCATCCAAAACTGTGTTGTCCTTATCCTAACTCTGTCAAAGACCAAGATTTTTCCATTTGCAGTTAAAAAGAGTGATGTCAAGGAAGTTTTATGGCATCGCTAGAGTGAGTTAACTTGTGCAATCATGCATTTCTTAACTCATTAATTATGTAAATTACAGTAAACCCGCTGTACCTGTGAAATCTGAATCACAAATTCTCCTATCCGCACCAAAAACTAAGTAACAACAAAAATCAACAGCCACATTCCAAGAAATGCATATCTGTGATATTTTTAACCGTTTTAACTTATTTTAAACAAGCTCCACACTTGTGAATTTCATCATTCACAGCGATTCTCATGGATGTGGAGGAATTACTGTAGATATTGGACAGTTTATTTGGTAAATTGCATAGAGTCATACAACACAGAAACAGATCCTCCAGCTCAACCCATTCATGCCGACTAGGTCTCCTGAACTGAGCTAGTCCCATTTGACTGCATTTGGCCCATATCCCTCTAAACCTTTCCTATTCATGTACTTGTCCAAGTATCTTTTAATTGTAATTTAATTAATTTAGTTTTAATCTTATAATTGTTCTCGCCTCTACCACTTCCTCTAGCAGCTCATTCCACATATGCAGCGCCCTCTGTGTGAAACAGTTGCCTCTTCGGTCCCTTGTAAATCTTTCTCCCTTCACCTTAAACCTAGGCCATCTAGTTTTGGACTCCCCTACCCTGGGGAAAAGATCTTGGCTATTTACCTTATCCATACCCCTAATGATTTTCTAAACCTCTATAAGGTCACCCCTCATCCTCTTACATCCAAGGCAAGAATCATAGCCTATCCCGCCTCTCCTTATAACTCAAGCCCGCCAGTCTCCGTAACATCCTTGTAAATCTCTTTTGCACCTTTTCCAGTTTAATAACAACCTTCCTGTAACAGGGCGTGTAGAATTGTACTCAGTACTCCAAATGTGGCCTTACCAACGTCTTGATAGCCATAATATGAAGTCCCATGAAGGTAGGAATGCCAAACGCCTTCTCCACCACGCTGTCTACCTGTGACTCACTTTCAAGGAACTATGTATCTGCACCCCTAGGTCTCTCTGTATGACAGCATTCCCTAGGGCTCTATCATTAAGTGTTTAAGTCTGCTCTGGTTTGTCTTGCCAAAATGCAATATCTCGTTTTTATCTAAATTAAACTCCATCTGCCATTCCTCGGCCCACTGGCCCAGTTGATCAAGACCCTGTTGTACTCTTAGTTAGCCTACTTCACTGTCCACTATACCACTAATTTTGATGTCATCCACAAAATTGCCATGCCCCATACATTCTCATCTAAATCGTTTATGTAAATAATGAACAACATTGCACCCTGCACCAATTCTTGACAGGCCTCCAGTCTGAACAACAACCCTCTACTGCCACCTTTATCTCCTATCGTCAAGCCAATTTTGAATCCAATTGGCTAGCTTTCCCTGGATCCCATGTGATCTAACCTCACTAACCAGTCTACCATGCGGAACCTTGTCAAAGGCCTTGCTAACGTCCCTGTAGACAATTTCTACCACTCTGATTTCATCTATCTTCTTGGTCACCTGTTCAAGAACCTAATCAAGTTTGTGAAACACAATTTCCCACGTACAAAGCCATGCTGGCTATCCGTAATCAGTCTTTGCCTTTCCAAATGCATGTAGATCCTAACTCTCAGAATCCCCTCCAACAGCTTACTCACCACTGACGTCAGGCTCACCAGTCTGTAGTTCCCTGGCTTTTCCTTGCAGCCTTTCTTAAATAATGGCACAACATTAGCCACCCACCAGTCACCAGCACCTCATCCGTGTCTATCAATGATACAAATATCTCTGCTAGGGGCCCTGCAATTTCTCCCCTAGCTTCTCACCATGTCCTCAGATACACTTGATCCGGTTCTGGAGATTTGCCTACCTTTATGCATTTTAAGACCTCCAGCACCACCTCCTCTGAAATTTGTACTCTTTCCAAGACATCACTATTTATTTCCCCAAGTTCCCGAGCTTCCAGTCTTTCTGCACAGTAAATACTAACATGAAATATTCGTTTAGGATCTCTACTATCTGGTGTACTTCCACATATGGATGGCTTCACTGATGTTTAAAGGGCCCTATTCTCTCCCTAGTTACTGTCCTCCTCTTAATATACTTGTAGAATCTCTTTAACCTTATCTGCCAAAGCTATCTCATGTCCCCTTTTTTGCCCTCCTGATTGCCCTCTTAAGTGTATTCCTACACTCCTTATACTCCTCAAGGGATTCACTTGATCCCAGCTGTCTATACCTGACACAGACTCCTTTTTCTCAACCAGAGCCTCATTATCTCTGGTCACCCAGTGTTCCCGACAACTGCCAGCCTTGCCTTTCACACTAACAGGAACGTGCTGTCCCTGTATTCTCATTATCTCAGTTTCGAAAGCCTCCTATTTGCCAGATGTCCCTTTACGTGCGAACAGCCTCCCCCAATCAACTTTTGAAAGTTCCCATCTAATACCATTAAATTTAGCCTTGCTCCAATTTAGTGCTTTAACTTGTGGACCAGGCCTGTCCTTTTCCATAATTATTTTAAAACTAATAGAATTATGGTCACTGGACCCAAAGTACTTGAATAAGATGGAAGTGTTCTCCATTGCCAGGATCTTCCAGCTTTTGAGGCTCCACATGCAAAGCCAAATTAGTCACTAGTTCAGACACTACAAGCCAAGAACTACCTTTCACTCTAGTGCTTATCTGTCAACTCTAGCCAAATTCTACTGAAGAAAACTAAACTTGCTTCCTGAGGAAAGTTATGGTAAATAGGGCATTGGAGAGCTGGTCAATCCTCTTGCCTGCTGACCACAAAAAAAGTCTATGTCACCAGACCTAGCCAGCCTGGACAGAGATAGCAGCACACTTCAGTGGTGCTTGCAGTGTGAAAATGCCATAAGAAGGTCAGTGAACTCCTGCACTTTGCAAGGGCAAGTGTCCCCAACTTCACTCTGCTTCCTGACATTCAAAGGGCTATCATTCACTCAATCTGCAATTGCTTCCTATCAATTCACCACTCCCACAGTGACCCACTACATGAAGCCCAACCCCAGACTTGATCTGCCCTCTGTCCTCATAACACCATAGATTACCCCCAGATAAGCTGCCTATTAGTGATCAAACCCCAATGATTGACTGTAGCCCACACCCAGACTGATTTGGCAGGGCTGCTCTGAATGACTATAGTCTACCCTTAACAGTACCCCCAATGAACTACATGTAATCTCCAGGCTGCTTGCACTAGACCTGGAGGACTGACCATGGCCCAAACCCTGCACTGCAGGGGTGTAGGACTGACTGCCTGTGGCCAACTCACAAGCTAGAATCAGGCCCTTAACTGATTGTGCCTGTACTTTTGACTAACTGGAGTTCACTGTCATCCCACTAAATTTTATCAGCTTTGACTTTCACAGGTCGTACTTTTCTTCAAGTACATATGGTGCCTTTGCCACATAAGTTGCTGGCAGACACTGCAACTCGGTTGTTGACTATCATTGTGCCAACTGATATATATTTGCTCTTGAATGCTTCCCCCTGCTATAAGCTGCCTGTCTCTCCTTCTATGCTTAAAAAAAAAATCAGGCTACACACAACCTGCCTGTCTATTTCTAAATAAGTCCTAAAAGTATGGAGCATTAAAAATGGACTAAGACCCTGAGGCTGCCTCAATCATTCAACCCTAAAAATTCTGTATAATTACATATGATGTTCCACAGTGCAAACTGACCTGCAAAGAGCATGCAATTTCTGGCTGTCCCTCAGCTCTAACATAGATGCTTGAAGCCTTAAGTGGCAGATGGATTGGACCAATAGCAAACGTGACAATATTGTGAGGCTGGTGTTTTACTGATAATGGAGTTGCATGGATGAAAGTCCAAGAAGCATGCGGCCATTGACCGTGCAGGAACCTGATGCAAAAAAGGTGGTTCCGTGTGAAGGGAAGTCAGTACAATCATTCTGCGAGCTGCTATAGATGCTGACAAGACACATCGACGCTTTCGTTGAAGTTTTGTGAATTCTCGTTTCTTGATTGCGGAGAGAAAGATCAGAAGTGCAATGTCAATCATTGGGTTGGAGTATTAATGAGATGCATATGCATTGGAATTAGCTTCTTGCCACTCACCAGTAAGATTCTGAATTCTCCAAAACTTGAGGACTTAATTGGTCAAGTTTCTCAATGTCAAGAACACGATTCTTTTTCATTCTTACTCAATTAAGCCATCTCACTTGGCATTATTTGTGATGCACCAATAGGGAAAATTCCATCCCAAATGCTGTTTGCCCTGTGCTCACTACCCTACATTGGTGCCTGGTTAAACATTGTCATCCCTTTTTTTTAAAACCCTTCTGTAATCTCACCCATCCCTAACTGTCTAATTGCCTCCCTAGCTCCATAGTTCTCAGGGATATCTCCAACCTTGGTCTCTTGTCCATCACTGACTTGATTTACTTCACCCTTGGTGGCTGAGCCTTCAGGTGCCAAGGCCAAAAGCTCTGGAATTCCTACCATTTGTATGAATTTATAAAATCCCTTTTTGAGCTTTCAGTGAATTTTCAGGTATCTGTTGAAGGCTTTGGCTATATTGTTATTGAGGTGTTCTCATCATCTATCTTCAGGTTTCTCTGCTTGAGAGTGATTTATAAAACAGGCATGAATACAGGAAAGACTCATTATTTGATCTTTTGTATTGTTTTGTCTTCTGCAGATTGCAATTTTCAAATTGGAGAAACTATTGTCTTTTAATAATTTCAACTGTACTCTATCTCTTTGTGTTCTCTTCATCTTTTCCGCCCCTAATATTATGCTGGTAGGTATGTCTATCTGAGGCAATTAGAGAGTACATTCTCAGCTATTTTCAAATTTGGTTCAGTGCTGCCAATTCCAATAATGTATTTAATTTAATACAATTTAGCAATGAAGATGTTCTAATTCTTGTTTATTTAATGTCTTTTAGGCAGCCTCAGTCATCTCTCTTCATCAAGAGCACGGTTGAAATCATCCAGCAGCTCAGTTCGTGTCCAGACAGGCAGCATCCAAAATAAACCATGGAAATAACGATCAAAATGTTAATCCTTCACCTTTCTTAATACTTCTGTTTTTTTTAAATCATTGGCTACTGTATTGCAAAAGAGCTGTAGAAAATTGTTATCACTGACGTTGTGTAAAAAAAACTTGAAGCAATGTCTAGAAATAGATGCTTTTGAAAACAATAGCCAACATAAGTTTTCAAAAATGCTATCTACTTGGGTTTAAATTACACATTTTAATTTAATTTATAGCTTTAAACTCCATCCAAAAACAGTGGAAAAGATATTAAAACAGAAGAACAAGGGAAAGACTGTTCAGAACTGTCTCATTACTGAGTCCTGTGTTGTCAACCATAGGTTTTGAATACACAACAGATACCAACACAGATTTGGATGTAGAAACACAGAAACAATACTTGTTGCACCATAAGAACACCCTAAGGTAAAATCCTGTTTTTATTTTTCCTCTGGTTCCAAAAGACAACATGAAGGAAAATAATTTATTCTTTTCTGTATTATCACAGAACTCTGGGCTAATCCCAGTCATTGGTTTTAAAGGAATTTACTTTCTTCTGTCCTCGCAACTATCACTTGATGATTAATGACCACCTCCGATATGAAACTGTTGATAACATTTCCAACTAGTGACATGTCCTAAAGGATACTTAATGCAATGCAACAGGAATTAAACAGCAGTTGAACAGATTCTTATCATTCCAACAGTACATTAGATCTGGTAACATGCCAACATATACCACAACATCTTCAAACTATACAATGGAATACAAGTAACGTATTTATAAACCAGTGCACTTTGACCTATTTTTCAAAATTTTAACCACCCATGACCTTAAATTTGTCAAATCAATTCAGAACATTTCCACTGGCATATATATCAGTGTGTCAGGGCAGCATTTCATAAACCAAAGTGAAAAGCTTCTTGGGTCATTCATTAATACCCTGTTTCTGTTTGCAACTGGGTCTCTGAAAGCAAGTGTACAGCCTGACTGATGTGTCAGTAAATATGTAATGAATCCATATGGATGTGGCTTCAGCATTCTTTGATACAAAGTCTTTGCATGTACTGAACTGGACTGTGGTGTGCTCAGTACATCCCATTGCCATGCATTATTACCCTTGATTTGTAGGTGTTGGTTATTTGTTAAATTTATTTTCAATTCCTGCCTCTGATTTTTTTTATTTAGCTTCAGTGTGGCAGCCTTTATACAGAATGAAACTATTGATAGTTTTTACATGTATTTCAAACCATTTTGACTTTCTTTCGTGCTTACCAAAACCAGTGGATTTACTATAACGATCAAATTCCAATCTTTTAAAAGAGATTCTGGTGTCTTCAGAAACAGTTTAGGACTCCACAACTCCATCTGTTCTTGTGGGAAAGAAAAGTGACCTTTCCCAATGCTGGCTTTTAAAGTGATCACCCTATTTAGATCCATCTCAGTCTGGCAACTTACTGAGATCTAGCAAACAGAGGAAAAGTATTGTGGAGTATCTCTGATTTTTATTTAATTGTGAGACCTAGAGTAACATTCACCTATGTCATGCTTCTCTGGAGCTAGTTAAAGTCTATTTTAGCCAAATGTACAAATTAACTGAATGTGCAAACCCTAAAATGAAATGTGATGGTCTGTGTTTCTATGAGAAAATGAAGTGAGTCAAGCCTATGGCAAATTATATACTGTTGATTCACTGACTGCACTTATTGACTAGTTCCTGGCCACAATCAATCTGAGTTAATCAGTTTTTCTTGTGCCTCCAATTTTGAAAGCTTTTTGTTTTTCACCACCGTGTATATGTGGCAATGTGATTATTAGATGCTCACACTAGTGTGTTTCATCCTGGAATCCCAGCCTATGTCTCTCTCCCAAGGAGCCAAGTTAATACTTGTATGTCTGCACAAAACTGAAGTTGTCTATGTTTTCCATCTCTTTTTAAAAGGTTTTTACTTGTGCTTGCAAAGACTGAGAAAATGTGGCAGTGTCTTCTCAATTACTTGTCTTTTTCCAAATATATACATTGTTTTCATGATTATTGGCTGCATGTGTTGACAAGTTAATGAGCCCAATGTAGAAGTGTCCTGTTACTGCTGGGTGTAAGATTTTGTAGTGGCCGGTAATCTCCCAGCAGGGAATCATCTTTCCTAACTGTGGACATAAAATGCAGCTCATTACCATGGCTACCCTCTTAGAACATGCTTTTTGAATACAATTGCACAGTTGTTTCCAGCAACAACATTCAGAGGAAAATTAATAGACACAAAAGCAAAGTTGGATTTGCAAGTACTAATCACTGTATAGCATTAAGACAAACAGAATTGACAGGTATCTGTTCGTGTTTTCTAAAGCGTAGATCGTGAGCCAGTGGATTGAAAACCCTCAGAGCCAATAAAAAGTACTGTGACAGACATGCACTTTTTTAAACAAGATTTATCTGACAATGATCTAAATGAGTACCCCTCAGAGATATTCACTTCCCAAGGCCAAGGATATTACGATCTAACTATAAGTGACTTTAATATATCATCCTGAGAGTAACTGACTTAGTGCAGATCAGAGATCAAGCTTGTAACCATCTTAGTCTGATTTTCAAAAAGTTTCTTTTTACATGTACTGCTGCCTTTTATGAAGATGTGAAATGTTGCCAATGGATATGATGTGCGTGTTGATGGCCTTTGAGTTACCCTTTGAGGAATTTCCTGCTCTAATATCAGGCGTCCAGTTCGAGGCCTGGATCGGGTCAGATTGTTTTTGGTGTACTGCTATTAAAAGTTGCATCCCAGAAGGATCCTTCATATTTTGTTCTTTGTAGTTGTTCTGCATGTTTAGTGAATGCCAACTAGATGATTATGACTGTGGCAGTTGGTCAAGTGATGTTGGCTTTTGGTTTTGAATATAAAAATCTGCATATTTTGTATTTTTTAAATAAAATGTATTTGTTTTAAATTTTGAAATGGTGAATGGCACATCTTTCTCAGTACTTGAGTTGGTTGTTTTTTTTTACAATGTCCCAACTTAATTTCACCAAGGTTGTGTCTTTATATAGCTGAAGGAATTTTTTTTCTTCAAATGACTTCATGAGCCACGGTCCATTATGGTAATTTAGCCCAACAGATGGGTGATCTCTGAAAGTTAATGTTGTGATTTTCATTTTTCAAGCTAGTGATGAATTAAAGTTAGCCAGGATTCCTGTTGCTATGAAATATCAGCATGGTACAGTTTAATGCTGTAGAGAACTTGTGGGTTCAATTGTTTATGGGATTGTGCTGTCATACTTGCATACTCCTTGCTCGGAGAATAATGCAAAGTAGTGGAGGATTCGGTAACTGCAGTTTTTAAATATGAATATTCCCATACCAGTTGATAGTGTGGTTAACAATGTACTGCAGGAGAATTTTATTGTTACTACCTAGCCCCCATGATATGTAAAACAAAAAGGACAGGGATGCTACTGTATCTCAAAACGTAGAACCTGAGCTCCAGTCTCCACTTGTCTGGCTTGTGGAGCAGCTTTGAACCCTGCATCTTCTGGCCCAATCGGGAATGTACAGCTAAGCTAAAAGCCCACCCCAGTTTTCTGTTTTGAATGCTCCCAACTAACATTAAGTACTTGTGAATTAAAGCAGTTGCATTGAAATTAAATTTCTCACTTTTTTGTTTATAAGATCTCAAGATTATAATGGAAGGCCATTCAATCCACTTTAGTTCACCATTCACGATAACAATGTTTTTCCCCAGCACTTGCTGTAATTTTGAGGTTCCACTCCTAAATCCAGTTTAGTACCTGCAAAAATGTCATTTTCTTGTGTTTCTGACACACTTGATGTAAATTGTAGTTCCAATATCAATCTTTAGGACACTCCACTAAATATTGTTCTATCCAACTCCAATCCCTCAGCCACAGCAACTTCAATATAGCTCTCTATGAATATTTTGTCTTCTGCTCTTCAACTAATTTCACATTCATATTCAAGATTTACCCTGAAGCAGTACAGCTTTGAGATGAACTAATTGCTTCTATGTGGAACCATGTCATGCGGCTTTTGCAAATCCAAGTACATGACATTGTGAGGTATGCCACAGTTCAAGTTGGGGTATCATTTCCTCAAAGGAGCCAAGGAGGAGGAGTGATGCTTCCATTTCCTACTTCAGCCATTTTCTGTATGAGATTGCCAACTCCAGTTTAGAGAGTTTTGTTCTGCACACCACACACAGTTAAATTCAGACTCGACAAAGCCATTTTCTCATGATGTACTTTGTATCAGAGAAAGGTCCATGCCAAAAAGTCTACAGGATATGTAATCTAAAATCCTCAAGGCAACAAAAACTACTTAGTCCTCCATCAAAGCCCTTATTGCAAGAAGAAAATCTGCACAAGACATCCAGGTGACTCTTTTCCCACAAAGAAAAAAGTGTATCCAATTTTTTCAATGTTGTCAAGTGATTTCAGGATTCCTCCAGTCAAATTGATGACTGTGTTATGTTTACTGATGCTCTACTTTAGCCTGCGTGTCTCATGTCATTTAATATCAGGAACTACTCTCAGCTCATTCAGACCTGTGCATTTAGCAGTTTTTTTTCTCAACACCTCCAAGGAACGATTGATCAGTGTCAATCACTTTCTCGATTGCTACTTTAGGTGGATTTATAAGACACTGCAATTACTTGTTGACAAGGCTGTTGTCCCTTTGTTTACCCAGATGATAGCCCATTTCAGTTATAACACAAGCATAGGTGAGGGAAGGCTGTTCAACTGCCCTTTGGATTTTATAAGACTTATGGTCCTGCAGAACCTGCATTAGGTGAATTATAAAATCATGGAGTGAAGAAGAGGACGTTTGGCCCACCAAGTCTACATCAATAAAAAGCTACTTTATGTTTACACTTAAATTGAGGGAAACGATAAAAATTATGATGGCTTCAAAGAAACACCACACACAACTATCACTTGATGATTGCTTTCATTCAAGTTTCACACTTTAATCTGCCTGGAATTATAACAAAAATCACAAAATATGTGTCATTAAGAAAAGTGTTTATTCTAAAATTTGAACAGGGATTTTAAGTATACAAAGAAAAAAATGGTAAAATGGATTGTTATATTTTAACAGTTTTAAACTAAAAGAATAAGGCTAATAATTTGATAGCTGACAACAGTGCTAATATTGCATCACTGCTTGAGTCTGCTGCTTATTTTTACACTTTAAGAAAGATGTATGAAAAACAGACTGTCAAAACATTTCTGGCAGTCATAGGAAATTTTAAGATTATGGAGATAATTATTAAAAGTTTATTCACACAACAAACTGCAATGAAGGATGATGTATATTTCTGTAGAGCTGGTTGTATGCAAAGAAGAGGCATACATATAGTTGTAGAGGATTTTACTATTTAGTAACGCTTGATATTTTGGGAGAGGTTGGTATTTCCAATTAACTGCCATTTGGAAGCCTAAAGATTAACATGACACTGTTGTCTTTTTTTGACCAGGTTAACATTTTGGTGCTTGGGTAAGCATTGCAAAGCATAAGTGAGATGTGTCAGAGCCTTGATGCGTATAGGGATGGATAAGCAAAGTTTTCTTTTAATTCCTTTAATTTTTATTTAACATCTCTCTTATTCTTAGCTAATCAATCCAAACATTTTATCACCTTGTTAAAGAATAAAGACTTTACTATTGATCTATGGCCTGACTTGTCCTATGAGGCATTTTGAGCCCATTTCATCTGTCATTTATTTAACCTTGACTTCACCCTTTATCTGAAAATTAAAGACCCTGACCATCTTCGGTGTTCATTCTTGCTGCCTCTCCCTGCATCCTTTCTTTTCATCAGCGTCCATTTAAAATGTGACAACAAAATAATCAAACGGTATGAAAGCAGAAGCTCATCAACACTGTTTCAACATTCAATCATCAATTTCATTTTCCTGCCTGTTGCCCATTACACTTGGTTCCCTTACTGATTAAAACTGCCTATTTCAGGCTTGAATGGACTTAATGACGTAACCTCTACATCTCTCTGCGGTAAATAATTCCAAAGATTAACTATCACCTGAGAGGAAAAAGGATCCTCCTCATCTAAATGAGCAATGCCTTACACTGAGATTATGACCTCTGGTCCTATTAAGTCCACCTGGCTGACCCTGTTATGATCACAACATGCACCATCTCTGTATCTACTTCCTTTAAAATCCTTGGATATAACTATTCAGGTCCAAAGTTCTTATTTGTGTTTAGCCCCATTCGTCTCTCAAGTACCTTTTCTCTCATTAAAGCTATTGGCTTTTTTTCTTTCCCTTTCCCCATTGCTCTTTGATGATTAAATATTTCAGTTTTTAGTGTCCTCTACCGTGAAGACTGATGCCAAGTATTTCCCCAGCCTTTTTCTCTAAGGGACCTATGTTGGGTCCTATTTTTCCTTTATATATAATTAAAAATGCTCTTACTATCTATTCTTATATTACTTGGCTAAAGGAACAAAAATGAGAGGACATAAATTTTAAAGTCATGAGCAAACAAAGTGACGTTGAAATTTAAAGAAATCAAAGTAGTGAGGGTATGGAATGTGCTGCCCTGAAATATGGTGGAGGCAAGTTCAGTTGAGGAATTGGATGATTATTTGGCTAGGAAGATTGTGCAAGAGTAATGGGGTAAAAGCAGGAGGTAATAATGCTTGTTTGAAGAGCTGGTGCAGGCACAGTGGGCTGAATGGCCTACTTCTGCACCGTAACAACTCTGTGATTTTGTGAGGTAATTACATTACTCTTCACTGTGAGTAATACTTACAGATTGTGGTGAAGATGGGTCCATATTTGTAGCTGGTTCCATACAGTGATGCTAAAGAAGTGACAGATATCTTGCTGAGATCAAGCTGCATGAAAAAGGGCATATTTAAAATTTGAAACAGATAAGGACATGAGACAGATAACTTTTTTAAGAAAAGCCAACAGCATGTTCATATTTAGATTTCTATCCCAGTCTCTACCATATGTTCACTATCTAAATAAACTAGATTCTGTATGTGAATTGAAAGACCTCATCTGCCTAACTAGTGATTTGCGCCCTCTGCTGTTTGATGTTCATATGCATGAAACTTCATGATATTATTTTGAAATATCTTTTGCAAAGCAAATAAACCAAACTTTTTCAATCTTAAATCCTAACATGTGAAACTTTGTTAATTGCTTCCAAGTCGTTTCGGTGGAAATAATAATCCTGTAGGTCGGTGATTCTGCATTTCTGTGCATTAGTTACATTGCAAGCTTTTTATAAAGGCTATCCTTTTACAACTGTTTTTATCAAAATTGTCATTATAAATTTAGTAACAAATCTCTTTCCTGACCAGCACATAATTAAATATTCCTTCTTGTTTATTTTCTCTCACTTATCCACATTGAACTGTCTGCCACTTCTTGACCCCATACTGTAAATGCCTAAGTGTTTTTTAAGTCAGATTACTTTGGTCCTTCTTATTTTGTAAGCATCTGCAAACTTGGAGAATTTAGTAACAATTCTTTACCAAATTATCAGTATAAGAAACAGAAGATGATTGCCCATGCTTCCAAAGTGTAATTTTTTTTAATCCAGCTCTTTAGTTACTTCCTAATTTCTGCTTCTGTTCAGTCACCATTAAATTGTAACAAGCAGCTATGACAAATGCTTTGAATATTCAGATGGAATATGATCTCTTTGCTTCTGTCCATTATTAATAATGCTGAAAAGAAACATTTGTTTTCTTAAACAATACCCTTTCTACTTTGAACTCATTATTTCCCTTTAACAAGTAAGTTGCCCATTCAAATGGTGTGTGAAATTACATTAGTAGCTCAGAAGGTCTATGACTTATTCCAATGGAACCCTCTCACTTGCTGTATGAGAACTGGAATGAGTCTGCCATCCATCAGGAACCAAATGTAAACATCCTATAGCTAGGCCAAGAGGCCTTTGGAGGACCACAATTCAGTGGATTGTTGGCCACAAATGTCTCCTGAACCCTGTTACAATTGATGTTGTTTAGAAAAAAATTACCAGTTCTCCATAGTCTTTTGGCTTAGTTGCAGTGTAACCATAAGGAAACATTAAGAGCTGAGAATAGCTGTGAACATCAATGGAGACTTTGAAATTTCCATGACTTTTGATGAAGTCAACTATGGCTTTGACTTCCTTCTCAGAATTGGCATAAGGTCCATAGTATGTTGATGAACAAGAATAGTCACTGGCACCAGGTCCTGTGAAATAAAAGCAGCAAATAAGACTTGATAGCTAACCATTTAATGTCCTCTTATTTGAAAGAAATGAGTGTGAAACTCAAGATTGCCCTCGTAACTTTTCAGACAATTCTACAATTTCAATTTTTTTGAAAGAAAAATGAAATTGCAAAGGCAAAGGGCAATAACCATGCAGCAGACATGATTAATAAAATGTTCCTATTCTGTGCAAACATATGTTGGATTGCATGGTGCAGTGAAATTGGGAAATCAGGCAGGTGGAAACACATCTGAAAATTAACTCACCTGAATTTCATTTATTCATTTAAATGGAAGAAACACATGCAGCTTTCTCAACAGAAATATGTGTTCTGACCTGCCCTCAGGTAGTATTGTATAACTAGAGTTGGATCCAGAAAATCTTTCCTCTGAAATATTGTGTTCAGTTTTGGACACTGACCCTCTGAAAGTATATATCGGCCTTGGAGAAGGTGCAGTGCAGATTTTCTAGAAAGGTGCAATGGCTTAAGGCGTTAAATTATGATGTAGAATGTAGGTAGACCTGGCATGTATTCCCTAGTCTTTAATGTAATAAAGGAATTTGATAAAGTTGATAGAAATTGGTGCAGTGATGCTGTCACTGGCTTAGAAATCCAGAGGCTCAGGTTAATATCCTTGCTCAAAATGCATCATGACAAATGGTGGAACTGAAACTCAATGAATGACATCTAGAATTGAAAGCCTATTTCAGTAATGGTGACTATGAGCTGAATTATCTCAGCTCCTGAATGATGGGGGCAATGGTGAGCAAGTTGGCAAAATAAAGCAAGATCAGAAAAATGAGATTCTTGATGTTAAGAAATACAAAGACTGATCCTCTGCCAAAGGTTTGAATGGCGAGATGAAGATTTTGCTAGTAAATGACAAGTGGCTTACTTGCATCTTTTTACATCTCATTACCAACCTCAGTTGTTGGCTAGATGGCTAGTTTGCATTGCAGAGTGACACTAACATTGTGGGTTCAAATCCCGCATTAGCTGAGGTTGCCATGAAGGATTCACCTTCTCAACCTCTCCCCTCACCTGAGGCATGGTGGCCCTCTGGTTAAATCATCACCAGTCATCTCCCTCTAATGATCTATGATCTGTTCAGTCTGTGGTGACTTTATCTTTTAATCTTATCATTACCTATTCTCACGTCTTTTCTATGGAGTTTACTATTCTCCCATGTAGCAAAGAGAACATAGACAGTGTCATGAAAGTCAGAGTGTGTACCAGTTGTTTCAGCTCGCCATACAGGCCTCGATGTTGGCGAACAATCCCCAACAGCTCCAGACAGCAACCACCCGTGCATGTGCAACTGCAACGCATAGACTGAACGTTGCTGAGTAAGTCAACTGCTGGCTCGAGCAAGATGGCACAAGCATAGCACTATAGAGATGAGGTGAACAGTGTCCTACTGCCTGAGTTAATTTGTTAATGCACTCAAAGGGAAACATCTATGAAACTCCCTAACATTGATACTTCATTGATTTTTGGTAAAATTCAGCTCCATGAAAATATTATTGATTTTTTTGTACAAATGTATTTGGTTTACCAATGTCCTCCAGGGAAGGAAATTTGTAGTCCTTATCCAGTCTAGCCTACTTATGACTCCCATGATTCTTGGCTGCCCCCTAGTAGGTCATTCAGTTGTAAGACAACAAGTGCTGGCCTTACCAGTGATGTCCACATCCCATGAAAGCATAAATTTAAAACATACTATTCCCCATGGTGGGTGAGTCCAGAACAAAAAGCATCAACTTAATATTACAGTTTAACTTTTCAGGGGTGAAATCAGTAAACACATTTTCACACCAAGGGTAGTGTAAATTACTTTTCTGTGAAATCCATACAGGCAGGATTTGTAAGGAATCTGTCAGGGTCCCCAGAACTGGCCTTGTCTGCCAAGCTGCCAAAGCACCTGCTCAGCCCTATCTTTATGTCTGGGACTGTTTTGTTGGATCAATGACAAATAGTTTCCTGACACAGATTTTTCTCCCATTTCCCTGACTGTCACTGATTTTGGTTTGAGAGACTGCAGTGAACCCTTGCCCACCTTCTGCAAATGATGTTTTGTTCAGTATTAACACTGGATTCATGTATCAATAATAAGCTCCAACTCTACATTCAATTCATTCTCATTCACCGTTCATTCTTTAAGAATTACTCTTCTAACTAACTCTGTAATACTGAAACATACTAAACACCTGCAAAAGTAATAAGGGTGTGATGAAGCATCAGACATTTTGTTTGGGTTTAACTGGACTTGGAGTTTGATAATGCTATCTCAGCACGCAGTGTAATCCTACCTCCAAAATTAGCTTCAAAGTTCCTGTTTGGGTCAACTCCTGTACATAACATGCCAGCATGTTTAGACCTGGTCTTCCGCCACATGCGGTTCTAAAAAGAAAAACTATGATAATATTCGAGGATGGGGAAAAGACATTAACTCCATCAGTCCTACCCCAGTTACAATAACCTATCCCCTACTCTCACTGTGCCCGTTAATCTCTTTATTGTCTGAAAATAGTTAATGAACTTTAGAAGCTATTTGCCACTTTCAGTCTTTATCTCTATTCTCCAGGTTCCTAATGGCCAAAATGGACAGCTACATTGAATTACTTCTTCCTATTCCATTCAGTGTCATTCATTTCCTTCAACATAGGCTATAGAACTTCACGTTTGTCAATCGATTAACACAACAAAATACTATTTGCTTTAGTAACTTTACCTGCTAATTTATTCCCTTTATCCATATTTCCTTCATTTCAAAGGGAACAGAGTATCATAATAGGGAGGTCTTACTAAAACTATACAAGGCATGAGGTAAAGTACATCTGGAAAACTGTGTATAGTTTTGATCCCTCATCTAAGAAAGACATTCTGATGTTGGAGGCAGTTCAGAGAAGGTTCATTAGTTGATCCTGGATACCAAGGGATTTTCTTCTGAAAAGAGGTTAAGTCGGTAAGACTTGTATTCATCAGAGTTTAGAAGAATGAGAGGTGACCTTGTCGAAACATATCAGATTCTTAGTGGTCTTGACAAGGTAGATGTAGAGAGGTTATTTCACCTTGTGAGCAAGTCTAGAAACAGTGGACATAATCTCAGAATGAGGTGTCGCACATTTAAGACTGAAATGAGGAGGAATTTCTCCTCTCAAAGTGTGGTCAATCTGTGGAATTCTTTACTGCAGAGCACTGTTGAGATTGGGTTGTATTAAAGGCTGAGATAGTCATTTTTAATCATTCAGTGGATCAAGAGTTACGAGGATAAGGCAGGAAAGTGGAATTGAGCATTATCAGTTCAGCCATGATCTCTTTATTTGGTGGAGTTGCTTTGATGGGCCAAATGGCCTATTTCCTTTCCTATATCTTATGGCCTTTTAGTTATTTTTATAGTCTTTAAAATGTTGTTTAGATCATTGCAAACCCTCCCAACTTTCAAGCAACATAGAACATAGAACAGTACAGCACATTACAGGCCCTTCGGCCCATGAAGGAATTGTAAATTCAGGTACCTGTCACTCAAAAATCTAGTTTGCAAGTTCTCATGTTCGACTTAAAACAGTGGTGAGGAAGGGAAACAGATGGCAACAACAGTTGAAAAATGTTCAAATACCTGAACGTTGATGCATTGCCTTTTAATACACTGGAATATCAATCCCACATCATTTTTAGAGAAGCAAAGGCTGATTAGGAATAGTCAACATGGCTTTGTGTGTGGGAAATGGTGTCTCACAAACTTGGTCATGTTTTTGAGGATGTGACCAAGAAGATAGATAAGGGAGGCGTGGTAGATGTTACCTATGTTGTGCTGACCTATTATCCTACTCCAAGATCAAAATAAGCTCATCTTTTTCAATCTTCAGTATAACTAAAGTTTTTATTAGAATCATCCCTGTTGTAACTCATATTTCTCAGTTTTGTGAACACTCTTTCTGCATTCTTCAGAAATAACAACTTTTACATGATTAGGTAGTAGGAGCTGCATAAAGAGTTCCAATTAATGAATGACCAAAAGTTTATTTCACAACAAAGGAAACTCTTATGGTTAACACACATTTTCGCCTAATGCAATCAGGAACTTCATTGCTGTGCATTATATTTGGACATTATCCGCCAATCTATTAGCTGATAGTGTTGCACAAAGCTGAGGAAAAGTGCTGTATTTTGGATAAGATATTAAACCGAGGACCCAGCTGCTATTTCAGCTGAACATGCTTTTTACTTGATTGATTGATTTATTGTCATGTGTGCCAAAGTACAGTGAAAAGTTTTGTTTACGAGCAGTACAGGCAGATCATAGTAAGCAAGGAAGTACAGATCAAAAAGACTCAGACAGAGGTATACAGGTTACACTGCACAGGGCATGCGCTAGGCGAAATCAACGTTAGCAAGATCAGCATTATTTGAATGCCATCTTAGGACACTTCAAATTGATTTGAACCAAGTTTGATTTTCTGATTATGTAGCGTGAGTTGGATGTAGATGGAGACAAATCCACACCACCACAGGAATCTGGTGGAGAGTTCTTCTCCAAGCATCTATTGGTTAGCAACTGGGGCCAAAGAGGTAAGATCAGAAAGTTATGAACAAGTTGATGACCCACCCAAATCTTTGCAAGAATGCAAGAAATGAGTTCTGCCTGTAAGGATCGTCCATAAGAGGATTATGGGACAGCTTCAGTGTAGTTCATAATGATGATGGAATGCAAAGCCTAAAACTGCCCTAATCTGGTTTAGGTATTGCCAAACCAGCATTTCCATTTAACAGAGTCCTTGGCAGTGAAACCTCACACCTGTTGGTGCCATTCTGCTACTGAGCCAGAGTAAAGGACACCTTGCTCTGCAGTTGGCCAGGCTATACCCAACTTAGGAATCCTTGTATAGACGCAACAAGAACTTATATTTATTTAAAGCCTTTCATGTAGAAAAATGTTTTGAGGTGATTGACAGGTTGCAGAGAAAGGAAGGGAAAAGCATGTATGAGAATTTCCTGAGGATGAGAATTTGAAACTTGAAGTATTAGGTCACTGGAAGTGAGTGTAAGTCAGTGAAGATAGCTGTAATAGGTGAGCTGAATTTGGGGCAAGATGGTTCATTCCTACAGAGTTTTCAATGAGCAGTGGCTTATGTAAAATGAGGAATGGGAGGCTGGTGAGGAGATTGTTTGGTGCAGTCAGTTCTAGAGGGGCCAAAGTCATGGAGAATGGCTTCTGTGACTAAGGGAGAGTCAGAGACAGATGATGTTACAGAGATGATTGTAGATGGTCTTGGTGATGGAGAGAATATGGAATTGGAAATTCAGGTACATGTCACTCAAACATCTAGATTGCAAATTCTCATGGTCGACTTAAAACAGTGGTGAGGAAGGGAAACAGAGGGCAACAAGAGTTGAAAAATGTTCAAACACCTGAATGTTGATGCATTGCCTTTTGATACACTGGAATATCAATCCCACATCATTTTTAGAGAGGCAAAGACTGATTAGGGATAGTCAACATGGCTTTCTGTGTGGGAAATGGTGTCTCACAAACTGGATCATGTTTTTGAGGATGTGACCAAGAAGATAGATAAGGGAAGAGTGGTAGATGTTATCTGTATGGACTTTAGCAAGGTCTTTGACAAAGTTCTGCATAGTAGACTAGTTAGTAAAGTCAGATCACATGGGATTCAGGGAAAGCTTGCCAATTAGATACAAAATTTGCTTGATGATAGCAGACAGAGGGTTGTGCTGGAGGGTTGTTTTTCAGACTGGAGGCCTGTGACCAGTGGTATTCCGCAGGGATCGGTGCTAGGTTCATTTATATAAATGATTTGGATAATATTATAGGAAGCATGGTTAGTAAGTTAGCAGATGACACCTAAATCAGTGGTATAGTAGACAGTGAAGAGGGTTACTTGAGTACAAAGGGATCTTAATCAATTGGGCCAACAGGCCAAGGAGTGGCAGATGAAATTTAGTTTAGATAAATTTAAGCTGTTGCATTTTGGTAAGATGAATACAGACAGTTAATGGCAATTACCTTTACACAATGATAGTGCCCTGGAGAATGTTGTTGAGCAGAGAGACTTAGGGGCTTAGAATAGTCCCTTGAAAGTTGTGTCACAGCTGGATAGCGTGGTAAAGAAGGCAATTGATGTGCTTGCCTTCATGGTTCAGACCTTTGAGCATAGGAGTTGGGACGTCATGTTGTTGTTGTGCAGGACATTGGTTAAGCCTGTGTACAGTTCCGGTTGCTCTCCTATAGGAAGGATATTATTAAATTGGAGAGGGTGCAGAAAAGATTTACAAGGATGTTATCAGGACAGGAGGGTTTGATTTATAAGGAGAGGATGGATAGGCTGGAACTTTTCTTCACTGGAACATAGGAGTTGAAGGGTGACCTTATAGAGGCTTATAAATCATGAAGGGCACAGATAAGGTGAATAGCACAGGTCTTTTCCACAGGTAGGCATATTCAAAACTACAGGGCATAATTTTAAGGTGCGAGGAGAAAGTTTTAAAATGGACCTCGGGGGCAACTTTTTCACACAGACGGTGGTACATATATGGAATGAGCTGCCAGAGGAAGTGATAGATAAAAGTACAGTTGCAACATTTAAAAAACGTTTGGACAGGTACATGAATTGGAAAGGTTTAGAGAGATATGGGTCAAATTAGTTTAGTTTTGGAAACCTGGTTGGCATGGACAAGTTGGACCGAAGGGTGTGTTTCCGTGCTGCATGACTCTATGAATCTATAACTGAAATATTAACTGTGTTTTTCCTGTCCACAGGTGTTGCCTGTCTTGATGAGTATTTCCAGCACTTTCTGTCTATATTTCAGGTTGCTAGCATTTTTAGTATTTTGCTATCGTATTTTTGCACTTACGTTTGTGTGGGTAAATTTGAATCCATCAGGATTTGTTACGAGCTCTAGGTAGCGGTCCATTGTGTTCAGCAATGAAGTCACAGAGGTATCTTTGCCAAATTCACTGGCAAGCTGGAAAAGAGACAAAAGGAATTATTGTGTTGGGACGTTTCCACATGCACTATTCCTTCCTCACTCAACTCACCCTTCCTTTCCTACCTTCTCTCCCTACCATTCTTTTTGTACCTTTCCCAAATTGCCATTCTTCATGTGAGCTCAGACTGGGAGTATCAGCAAGTAATCCAGTTATGAAAGCATCAAACTCAAGTCTGAACCTGTCCCCAACTGGAAAAGCACAGCGGCCTTTCCCTGCAGATTGATCGGTAATCTAGAGCAGGAACTATGACTGATTTTCTCCTCACAGTGCCCATCCTCAAAACTTTTTAACTCAATAATCTTACCCCAACGTTGTAATCTTAATCAGAAATGCAAAGCTCACAGGGTAAGTACTCACACTTGAGCAACCAGAATATTTTTCTGAGGTTAGGTTAGTGGCACTGGGTTACCAACTCTGAATTCCTGGTGATTTCATGGCACGACTTTCTGCTTGCAACTGCCCCAAGCAATCAAATTTCCAAATGTTCAAATATCCAATTTTTTTTAATGACTGATTCACAAAAGTATTCAAACAAAATGCAGGCACAATTACTTACAATGTTTATGAGCTTGCTGTCATCAGTGCCCAGGAGATTAACCTTCAATTCTACGGGCAAAACGAGTTGGCCACCTTAATTAGGTGATCAAGAAAAGGGAACTTGAAAGGGTTTAAATGTTGCCTGCGTGGCTGTTCTGACATGAGGTGGTACAGTATTCAATAGGGGCTCAGCAGTTGGTTGCAAGTCAGTTTAAGGTATGCTGATGTACTGGAGGTAATAGGATGGTCATCCTACCCATGGTGAGCCTTCAAAGAGGTACAAACATATAGTGCTTCTATCTTTGGAGTAGTGGGATACTGTTAGAGTCACATCAGAAATGGAAACACAGGTGAGCTCAGAATCCAAGTTATGAACTGGATTTTACAGTCAACTGCTAGTCAATGCCACAATCAGATATGTAAAACCCAAGCCCTTTCCATTATTCCTGCAAATGGAATCTTCTAAACGTTACCTTATTTGCAAGCCAGAGGGATGTAGCAGGACTAATCCATTCACGGGCATGGATACCAAAATTAATCCAAATAGCAGGTCGGTTAATCCCACCAGTGCTAAACTGTAGGAAGATCAGTTCACAAACAATTGATTGTGGGTAAACTGTACTACTATAAAATAAGCAGCATTATTAAATTCTAATACATCGTCTGATCACCATGAAATAGCATTAATTTATAAAAACAAAAATAATTTCTGATAATCAAAAAGCGAAAAGAAGTTTTCTTTTCCTTTGCTGTTATATGTGATTACACAATTGGGTAGGCACTTACTGAAAAGTCCTGCGTGCTAATAGCTACACTAACAACTAACTTAAGATAATAAATTCAGGTTACGGTATGTTTCATGTACACTTGCTAGAAATGTACTCAGGTGCCCTTCTCTTTAACCAAAAGGAATTTGTTCAAGCCTTGCATATTTTTAATTCCTGGAAATATGGAGAGTCCATAGTTCCGTATTGCTTTGTCCATGGCAATGCCTTGGGAACGCACAGTCATCTTGATAACCAGTTATAACACCTCTTTTCTCCTCTAATATCAATTGTTGTGATCATTTGAAATTTGGCATTCTTGCATTTCTCCTGACAACAACATGTCTTTCTTTTCACTAAAATTCTTTTTTACAAATCAAGTTATTGTAATCTGGAATGCAGGGCCTGAAAGTGTAGTGGAAGCAGATTGAAAGGTAAGTTTCAGAAGACAATGAGATAACTATTTGAAAAGGAAAAATATCGTAGGCCTAATTGGGTATTCTATCATCAGGCAAGCACAGTAAATCAAATGACCTCATTCTTTGTTTAATGATTCATAATACATACAAGGGAATAATTTTTATGCTGGAATGTAACTGATGGTGAGGTGATTTATAGAAAATTAGCAATGTAGGACCTCGATACTACTTAGGGTGTGCAGCTAGGTTATAGTTTAAGAGCAAATAATACTCAACAGTGCCTTGTAGGCTTAAATCGAACTGACTAATTCACATAATTTATAACCAACATAATGGACAACTGGGTTTTTCCTGAAATTTCAGTCTTTTCAAACATAGGTTGCCTGCAATGATAATTGTGTAGATATCTCCCTTCATTTTATTTAGAAGTATATGATAATTTATTCTCATACTTTTCCATTTTAAGGTGAAAATGTCATTGACATCCCAAATATTATTGAACAGTAATACTTCCTTTATTACCACTAACATCATCACATTTTTTGTGTTCCACCTTTGTCCTAAAATGTTCTCCATGTATATGGAATTCAAGGAGAGACTTAAGTTGGGGCTAGGGCTTCATTGCTCTTATTTTACATGAACTGCCTGTAGTAGGGCAACATGTCTCTACCTTGTCGACATAACTCATGAATTAGTCATGGGGCAGAGCTACAGAAATGCAAGGTTGGTGAACGGGAATGCAGTGGTGTTGTGTGAGCACTGCTCTTCCTCCTCGTTCCACAGGAATGATGTTTGGAATGCTTTGTGAATACTTACATTTTGTTGACAGCTACCATACCTGTTGGAGGATCCTGAATGGAATAGTCCCAGCTCCTGTTCCATTCACTGTTTTCCAGTTTTGGCAAGGGGACTGAAATCACGCAATAGGTTCCTCAACTAAAATCCCAACATCAGGTTTGTTGTTTCAGAAGTGTAATTGGGGGCCCTGGTGTTGGTCTCCAAACTTAGTTTTTGTTCACTTATTTTAGTCTGCTAAACAGGCACATCTAGATCCAATTTCCAACCCTCAGTTCATCCTTGAATCCAGGATAATGTTGTTCAGACAGCCTTACTATCAGAACAATATTTACATCACTACAGACAGTTCTTACCAAAGCTAATCATCTTTATATTTATTAGATAGGGTTATTCCTTTAAGCAGTGCCTTGAAGTTTGGGAGTTGCTTAATTGAAAAATAATAAGCACAGAGATACGTCAGCTCCCTGTTTATACCCACCCTTAGCACATAGATTGGGCGGTTCTCAAAAGTGGTACCAATCTGCAGTTTGCTGACCAGGCCTGAGTTAGAAGCTACAAACATATCCATCCACGTGTAAATCTGGGGAAGAGAGTGGAAATTAACAGTCAGTTTGATTTGTGTTTAGACAATGAGATTCCCTCGTGTTGTCTCCTGGAAGGTGGAGGGACGACGAAATTATGCAACATTAACTGGAATGGAAAATAACTCAGGGCTCAATCTAAAAAAGTAGCTGATTAACTACGTGTCAATTTCAGATTACAATTTCACCCCAAATGACATTCAAACCTGGACTTTGAGAACACAGGATTTTCACCTTCCTCAGTAAGTTCCAACTGGAAGATTAGATCCACTCATTCTTGACTTCCCCTCTAGTGGAAATTTCTTTTATCAATACAACAACATTCTAAGTGTCACGATCAGGCCACCCTTCTGTCTTCTATATTCTGATGAATCTGTGCTGCCCCTTGTCCACGTCTAATATATCCTTCCTGAAGTGTAGAGTTCCAAACTACAGGCAATGTCCAATCAAGACTCTGTACAACTTAAGTATAGTAAATGTATTTGGAGCTTTGGAAGAATGATAGAATAAATCAAAGCAGCACTGATAATTATAACAGTAAAACAGGGAAGAAAAAGATAAGGAAAGTTGGGAGCATGGGGCAAAGTAAAGGATTAACTACCACTTCCAAACTTTATTTTTGTATCCTTTTCAAGTTTAAGAAGTGAAACATTAAGAATAATCACTTCCTTAAACATAAAATTTTCCATTTTTACCTATGACTGTTAAAGTTTGCTTTCAATATTTAATAATTGCTTGACTTTACCTCCTCCAATGTGTGGTAAGAAGCATAGTTGAATGTTTGGCTGTTACGTTCCTTATGTCGAGAAAGTATCATTTCCTTCTTCTCTTCATCCAATAGAAGCTGAAAGATTACAGTACAGTCAATGGTGAGCTGTCTCTAATATCAACTGACTGTAGTGGTAACTCCAGAGCCAGTGTATACTTTGTGCAGTGTTACCAAATTATAAATCACTAAGGGTCAGTTGAAGGAGAATACCTGTAGATCTTCAATCAAGATTGAGTAACCAATACCGTTGAACTCAAAGAAGGCTTTCACAGATTGTGCATGCTCTCTTGGGACTTGGATGTCAATGGGCATCAAGGGCCTGCTTGGTTCTAACCAGAAATCAATCTAAGGAAAAGAATTATACAATTAACTGTTAGTGTATGGATTGCCATAAATAGAAAAACACAATCTAAAAAAAAGTGAAATGTTTCTGTGGTTTTGAATTTGTACAAGCCATTACACAATCTGGGCTGACATGTTCCATACATAACTGTGGGAGTGCTCCACTGTCAGAGCTGTCACTTTCAGGTGAGATATTAAACCAGTGGTCCATTTGCACTTTCTGGTAAATGCTAAAGATTGTTCATCATTTGTTCAACACTTTTAAAATATTACTTTATTGCTCTGCCTTTCACTGGAGCTTGCTGTGTTCAAATTACCTGCTACAATTGTACGTTAAATAGTCCTTCACTAGTTGTAAAGTGCTTTACAACATCCTTAGGTTGTGAAAGGTGATATATAAACCGCTTTTTTTTATCTTTGGTTAACAGTTCAATATTGTGTTGGTTTGAGTATTATAGTAACAGCATAAAAGGCAACAGGAATAATGATATATAAACTCACTAGGATATTTCCAGGACTGAAGGATTAATGCTTCGAAGAGAAACTTGAGAGGTTGAGCCATTTTTTCATTTGAGCCAAGAAGGTGGCAGGGTGAACAGAAAGTGATCTCCAAAATTATTGGGAATTATAATATTATAAATAGGGATGAATTGGTTGGAAGGACAGTAAACAAAAGGAACAAATTTAAGATAATCACAAAAAATACTATGCTATTAGATATGAGAGTGCAAATAGTAAAGTGAGACTATATGAGTTGACTCAAGTAGAGAATTGCTGTCGTGAACTTGGTGGATGAAATATCCTGTAACGTTCTATACTTCTAGCATTTTGATATAATTTGCTGCAAGCTTAAAAGTTCTCAAAGATCTGCAGGATTCATCAATCTGATTATTATCTTTCCAGTCACACAGACTCACCACTATTCCTGGGACTTTTCAAACTTTACTAAATCAAGGGTCATTTCACCCTCCCCCTCCATCTCCCCATCCGCCCATGGACAGACAGGCTAGAGATGTGTCATAATGATGTGTGGATCAAGTACCCTATGGAATAGGAGGGTTGTAAGTGTGCCACTTACCTGGAACAGAAGTTGACAAATTCAGCCAATTCCATCATTCAATTAAATCATTGCAGATTAATATCTTAACTTCACTTGTGGTTCCATCATCTTTAACACTCTTGCCTGACAAAAATATATCAAGTTCAGCTTTGAATATTCTAATTGGGCCATAGTCTCAACAGCTTTTTGGAAAGAGTTCCAAGGTTCCACTGAAGTATCTCATAGCTACACTAGATGCAGTGCTTTGTTAACTTGAATCTCTGTTTTATGCTACAGGAGCAGTTCAAACAGTACAGGGCCACCAACAAATTTGACAGGGCAGAAAATGAGGCACTTTCCAGTGGAGAAGTTATGTGTTCTGGAGAAGGAAAGAGCTGATATGTACAAACAAATTAGGAGTAGCTAACAATGTGGTCTCTTCTACAAAAGTACAGACTGGGTGACCACTGCACTGAACACCTACATTCTGTCCACAAAAATGACCCTGAGCCTCCAGTTGCCTGCCCTTTCAACACTCCACCATATTCCCCAGCAAACATCTCTGTCTTGGGTTTGCTATACTGCTCCAGCTATGCTCAGCGCAAGCTGGAAGAACAATGCCGCAATTTCCTTAGGAACCCTGCAGTCTTCTGGACTCAATATTGAATTCAATAGTTTTAGCCACCACATCCGACACCTCGAGTGAGATGCCACCACCAGACACATATTCACCTCCCCTCCTTTGTCTGCGTTCCACAGGTACCGTTTCCTCTGGGACACCCTGGTCCACTCTTCCCTCATTCCCAACACTCCCTGACAGCCCCACAGCACCTTCCCCTGCAATTGGTGAAGGTGTAACACTTGCCCACTTACCTCCTCCCAAAGGCCCAAACATATCTTCCAGGTGAAGCAGCGCTTTACCTGCAGTTCACACAATCTAGTCTGCTGCATTTGCTGCTGACAATGTGGTCTCCTCTACATTGGGGAAACGAAGCGTAGACTGGGTGACCGCTTTGCAGAACACCTATGTTCTGTCTGCAAAAATGACCCTGAGCTTCCAGTTGCCTGCCACTTCAACACACCACTCTGCTTCCTGACCAATATGTCTGTCATAGGCTTGCTGCAGTGCTCCAGCGAAGCTCAGCATAAGCTGGAAGAACAACACCTCTTTCTCCGATTGGGGACCCTGCAGCCTTCTGGACTCAATATTGAGTTCAATAACTTTAGGGATTGAACTCTCCTGTGTCCATCCCCATACACCAGGCCTTGTGATCACATAGTCTGCTATCACACACACCCCATTGTTAGCCACTAATAGTCTCCATCAATAGCTGTTCACCTTCCTAGCCAGATTGTTATCCACTCCTTTGTCTATTCAACTGTTCTTCTCTCTCTTTGGACTCTATCCCCAGTCCCTTTTGTTTAATCCTTACCCCCTCCCCCCACCTAATTGTCTGCATAAAAACCAACATTTTTCTAGCCACCATCAGTTCTGAGGAAGGGTCACCGGACCCAAAACATTAAATCTGATTTCTCTTCACAGATGCTGCCAGACCTGCTGAGCTTTTCCAGCAATTTCTGATTTTGTTTCTGATTTACAGCATCCCCACTTCCTATGGTTTCAATAATTTTAGGGCCTGAGCACCTTCTTCCATGCCCTTACCCCAACCCCCACAGTCCAGGCCTTGTTATCACATAGGCCGATACCACAAACAACACATTGTCAGGCACTAATGATCCCCATTACTAGCTATTGATTCTCCCAGTCTGACCTTTACCCACTCCTTTGTCTGCCCAACTGTTTTTCTCTGTCTCTCTGTGCTCTATCTCCACCTATCATTTACTCCTTGCCTCTCCCCCCGCCCTTTTCTAACATATATACTGACCTTTTCCTAGCTACACTCAGTTCTGTAGAAGAGTCACTCAACCCGAAACATTAACTCTGCTTTCTCTCCACAGATGCTGCTAGACCTGCTGAGCTTTTCTCCAGCAATTTCTGATTTTGTTTCAAATTAGGAGTAGGAGTGAAACATTCAGCCCCTCAAGCCTGCTCTGTTATTTGATAAGATTATGGCCAATCTGATTGTGCCCTCTACATTCCTCTCTAGTTGCTATGTCCTTTGGTTACCTCGTCAGTAAATGAGCCTTAAAAGCATTCAATGACCTAGCCTCTGCCTTCTGGGGAACAGAGTTCCCCAGACTAATCATGCTCTGGGACAAAATGTTTCTCCGCACCTCTATCTTACATGCAACATGTCTTATTTTTAAACTGTATCCCCTAGTTTTAGTCTCTCCCATAAGGGGAAACAGGCTCTCAGCAGTCACCTTATCAAGTCCCTTCAGGATCATACTAGTTTTAATAATGTCACCTCTCTATCTTCTAAACTCTTACAGATACAGGCCCAATCTGTACAATCTTTCCTCATAACCACCTCATCCCAGGTATCAGTTGACAGAACATTGTCTGCACTGCTTCTAATGCAAATAAAGCCATTCTTAAATTCAGGGACCAAAACTGTACATAGGTGGTCTCACATAGGTGGCCTGTATGACAGTATGCTTCAATATATTTCATCTCCCTTGCAATAAATGACAATAAAATCCATTTGCCTCTGCAATCACTTGCCATACCTGTACATTTTGGAACAAATGTACCATATCACTGATGAAGGTCTGTAACATATCATTATTATTTGGGAACTTTGGTTCTAAACTAGATTTTTGGTTTCTGTTTCTTAAGGGTCAGAAGCTTCTTTATAAGCAGTGGATCAAAACAGCCGTTCCAAGGTATCATGTGACTTAAGCTCAATGACGAGGGAAGCTACCTGGTGAGATAATCGCTGAAATAGTTACTAAATTGAGTTTTTATGACCCAGAGAAAGAGGCTTGAAGAAGGATCAGTTCAGAAGATCCATGAAACATGCATTACCTAGCAGTCAAGTAGTAGTCAAAGTGGCTGGAAAGCATCTTGCATGACTTTTCTGAGTTCAGTGAGAAAAATCAATGGGTTAACCTATAGCTGTGTATATCAGGAATGGCAGTAATGGAGAGAATAATGTATATTCATAGATTCAAAAACACAGATTAGCAACAGAAGTAGGTCATTAGACTCAAGCCTGTTCTGCCATCAATATGTTCATGGCCAATCTGTTTGCGTTTCGAATTGCACATTCCTATCCACTCCTGTTAACTTTTTATTGTATTGCATCCATCTTAAAATTCTGTTGAACATTCAGAAATTTGACAAGAGGAAATGCTTGTAACCTTGTCAATTGAGGAGAAATTTTAAAGGGAAGAAAGGAGTGATGCTTCACTGGGTCTGAGATTCTGCAAAGTATAATCTAGGAAAAGAGAATTGTATCTTTCTTTTTGTGGTTTAAAAAAAACTTTCCAAATTGCATTTGATTTTGTATTTTTTCCTTGTGTGTTATAAAGTTAAAAGCACTTTAGCACCCTTTTGTGAATATGTTCAGTGATTGACCACCACAGGAACCAAATTGCAAAACTAAAACCTATCAACTCAGGTATGAGTCTATCAGTTTTACCATTAGCTGGAATCAATAACAACCCTCTGATCCCTCCATATGGCTGAGTTCTGCAATTTCTCTCCATTTAAATAAAATGCTGCTTTTCTATTCTTCCTGCCAAAGTAAACAATTTCACATTTTCCACATACTCCATCAGGAGTATTTTTGCTCACTCACTTAACGTATCTATATCCCTTTGCAAACTGCTTATGTCCTCTTCACAACTTAATTTCCTACATGTCTTTGTGTATCATCAAACTTAGAAGCCATAGATTTGGTCCCTTCATCTTTGATATAGACTGTAATTAATTGAGGCTCTAGTGCTGATCCTTGCTACACTTCACTTTTTCAACCTGAGAAAAACCCATTTATCAGTACATTCAATTTCCTGTTCACTAACCAATCCCCTATTCATGCTGATGTGTTATCCTATGCCATGTGCTCTTATTTTACCTAATAACCTTTGATGTGGCAAATTATTATATGCCTTTTGGAAATCAGAGACTGATTATCTGCCTTGATTTCCGTATTATATGAGTTTAAGGGATTCACGATGACACATTAGCAATGATTTCAGTTCAGTAATTATTTGTCTGTTTTTAACTGCAATCGCCTGATAGGTAAAGCATTTTAATTTAGTGAGAAATCTACAACGTAGCACCAAACGCCACAGTTCCAGCCACAACTAAGATTGAAAAGTGTAAGGTAAAGATAGTATGTGACCACTGATCAAACAGGAATGGGGGACATGGCATAAAGAGATGCCCATGAATTACATTGATTTATATTAATTAAATATTACACTTACATTAATGTATATTAACTTACATTTAGATGCTGCAGTTCTTGGAGGGACCGCACCAGATCAAGCTGTGCCTCATTGCTGGCAGTGATTCATAAAACCTGGTCACTGTAAGAAGTCAAAATGAAAGAAATGAAATTGAAATTCTCCATGTGAGAGTTGAAAGCCATGGGACAGTCTTTTCAGCTCAGCCCTTGAGAAAGGAATTCGTCACACGTTTTCTCAAATGGCAGATTGTTGGGTGTTACTTTAAGCTTTGTACCAAAAGTTACAATAGGTTATGGAATGATGTGGACCCAGGAAATGGCAGAGGAGTTGAATAAATACATTGAATCAGTCTTCATGGTAGAGGACGCTAATAGCATTCTGAAAATACTAAATAAGGAGCTAAAGGAAGGGGTGGAAATAAATATGATACTACCTCAAGAGAAAAGTACTTGGCTAAACTAATGATCCTAAAGGCTGGTAAGTAACCTGGATCTGAAGGGTTGCATCCTAGAATTTTAAAGGAAGTAGATACAGAGATGGTGGATGCACTGGTAACAATCCTCCAAAAATCCTTGAGTTTTGGAAATGTTCCAAAGGATTGGAAAACAATCAATGTAACACCCTTATTCAAGAATGGAAGTAGACAAAAAAAACACGAGATGTTGGGTACAGTGGTTCAGTAGTTAACATTGTTGCCTCGCTGCACCAGGGACCTGAGTTCAATTCCAGCCTTGGGTGACTATCTGTGTGGAGGTTGCACACTCTTCCTGTTTCTGTGTGGGCTTCTGCCAAGTGCTCTGATTTCTCCCAAAATCCAAAGATGTGCTGGTTAGGTGGATTGGCCATGGGAAATTGCCCTGCATTGTCCAAGGATGTGTAGGCTAAGTGGATTAGCCATGGGAAATACGGGCTTATGGGGACAGGCTAGGTGTCTGGGTCTGGCTGGGATGACCTTCAGAGGGTTGGTGCAGACTCAGTAGGCCGAATGGCCTCTTTCTGCACTGTAGAGATTCTATTTTAGCTAAATATCTGTCATTGGGAAAATGTTTGAGTCTGTTATAAACAATATAAAAGCAGAGTATTTAGAAATACATAACATAATCAAGCAGAGTCAGCATGGCTTCATGAAGGGGAAATCATGCCTGATAAAATTATTAGAATCTCTTGAGGAAGTAACAAAAAGGGATAGATAAATGGAAACCAGCAGCTGTTATATATTTGGATTTCCAAGAGACATTTGTTAAGGCAACACACAAGAAACAACTTAATAAGACAAGATAACACAATGTGGAGCTGCAGGAACACAACAGGTCAGGCAGCATCAGAGGAGCAGGAAACTTGACTTTTTGGTTTGGGACCCTTCTTCAGAAATGGTGGCGGGGGGTTGGGGGGTGCTGGGGAGTGAACTCAGAAATAAATAGACAGAGGAGGGGTGGAGTTGTGGAAGGTAGGTGGGATGGTAATAGGTGAGTGCAGGTAGGAAGTGGTAGGGATTGGTCAGTGAGATGGGAGGAGTGGATAGGTGGGAGAGAAGATGGACGGGTTGTGTCAGGTCAAGAAGCGGGGATGAGAGGGAGGGTTGGTTGAGGCCGGGGGCAGGGAGATTTTGAAACTGGTAAAATCCACATTTAGGCCATTGGGCTGTAGGCTCCCGAGGCGGAATATGAGGTGCTGCTCCTCCACTTTGCGGGTGGTGTCATTGTGACACTGGAGGAGGCCCAGGATGGACATGTCACCAGGGAGTTGGAGGGGCAGTTGAAGTGGTTCACGAGTGGAAGGTGCTGTTGTTTGTTGCAAACAGAGCACGGGCACTCTACAAAGCAGTCTTTGAGCCTCCGCTTGGTCTCACCGATGTAGAGAAGGCCACATTGGGAGCAGTGGATGCAATAGACCACATTGACAGATGTGCAGGTGAACCTCTATCTAATGTGGAAGGCTTGTTTGGTGCCTTATTCTTACTATCTCTTAATAAGACAAGATCCCATGATGTTGGGTGGTATATTAGCATGGATAGAGGATTGGCTAGCTAACAGAAGATAGACATTTGGGATAAGGGGGCATTTTCAGGATGGTAACCTGAAACAAGTGAAAAGTCACAGGAATCAGTGCTGGGATTACAATTGTTTTCTACATATATATTAAGGTCTTGGATAACAGAAGTGAAATACTGCCACCAAGTTTGCAGGTGACACAAAAATAGGTGAGAATGCAAATAGTGTAGATGTCACAAAGTGTCTACAGAGGGACGAAGACAGGTTAAGTGAATGGGTAAAAGATGAAATACAATGTGTGAAAATATGAGTTTATGCATTATGGCAGGAAGAATAGAGGAGCTGAATATTATTTAAGTGGGGAGAGACTGTAAAGAGCGTAGCACACAAGGATTTGAGGGTCCTCATGAATTAAGTACAAAAAAGCTAGCATTCAAGTTCAGTATGTAATAAAGAGGGCAAATGAATTATTGGCCTTTATTACAAAGGCAATGAAATCTAAAAGTAGGGAAATCTTGCTAAAAATATACAAGGCACTAGGCGGACAACATCTAGAATACAGTGAACAGTTTTAATGCCCTTATCTAAAGAAAGATACATTGGCATTGGAGACAATCCAGAGAAAGTTCGTTGACTTGATCCTGGTGTGGAAGATTTTCTTATGAGGAGAGGTTGAGTAAGTTGGTCTTTACTCATTGGAATATAGAAGAATGAGAGTGACCTTATTGAAACATATAAGACTCTTAGGGTGCTTGACATTGCAGGTGCTGAAGGCTTATTTCTCCTTGTCTAGGACCAGAAAGCATAAACTCAGAATAAGGGTTGGCACGTTTAAGACAGAGCTGAGGTGGAATTTATTCTCTCAGATGGTAATCATTCTATGGAATTGTTTATTGCAGGGGGCTGTTGAAACTGAGTTATTAAGTATATTCAAGGCTGAGATAAGCAGGTTTTTAATGAGAATGGAATCAAGAGTTACAGAAATAAGGCAGAGAAGTGGAGTTGAGAATTATCAGATCAACCATGATCTCATCATATGGCAGAGCAGGCTTGGTGAGCTAAATGGTTATTTAGTCTTATGATCTTAGAGGTTGTTTTGTTGATGAAGGACTGTGTGAAGGAACCCAAAGCCATTTCATCCAGGTTCTCTACAGATCAGAGAAAGCTGAGACCTTAATTCCGTTTATCTGAATTGAAAAGATTTTATCAACCCACATTTAATGGCACTTTCAGAATTCACAGAACTTTGTTATGAGCTGTAGCAGAAAACAAGTGTTATTCATTGCAAAAATTAAACTCAGTTACTGAAGAAATTGCACAATAGAATTTTCAAGAAAAATATTGCATTGATGTAATAGTTTCTGTTAATCAGATAGTTTATTTTAATTAAACAGTTTATTTGTCTAAACACTCTGTGAGTAGGCTTCCTGGGTGGTCAGGCAGCGTATTTGTGAAGATCATAGGACCCATGGTTCTGCAACCCAGTGACTTTCTTTAAAGTAAAAACCAAAAGAACTGTGAATGCTATAAATCAGAAACAAAAACGAAAGTCGCTGGAAAAGCTCAGCAGGTCCGGCAGCATCTGTGAGGAGAAATCAGAGTTAACGTTTCGGGTCTGGTCACCTGAGCTGACTTAATGCCCTTTAAACCCAGTTGGGATTGCCCCCTTTCTTGCAGAACAGTGAGTTCTCATGTAAAAAGGGGAGGAGAGGCAATGGCCTAGTGGTTATCGCTGGACTGTTAAACCAGATAATGTTCTGGCGACCCAGGTTTGAATCCTGCCACGGCAGATGGTGGAATTTGAATTCAATAAAAAATATCTGTAATTAAGAGTCTAATGATGACCATGAATCCATTGTCAATTGTTGGAAAAACCCATCTGGTTCACTAATGTCCTTTAGGGAAGGAAACTGCCGTCCTTACCTGGTCTGGTCTACATGTGACTCAAGACCCACAGAAATGTGGTTGACTCTCAACTGCCCTCTGGGCAATTAGGAATGGGCAATAAATGCTGTCTCGCCAGTGACGTCCTCATCCCGTGAATGAATAAAAAAAGCTATCACCACCACACATGCAATCAACCAGCAGGGGGCACATGATATCATATGGAGACTGCACCCTTTGCCCCCACCCTCCCATTTTTGGTTTTGAACTTGTGAAGTCCTTATGCTTTTCAATTCATCCTCTCTGCTCTCCTAGGCCATTCAAATATGTTAGAGAAACAAACCTTGAAGAATTCTATCAGTATTGGGATATGAGGCAAAACTGGTCATTAGTTAGTAGATCTTTTAGTCTGCTTTAATCTCTATTTTCCTTCTTTCATTTCTCTATTTTGTTCTTCTTGCCCTGGTCACTTTAACCCATACTCACCCAACCCACATGTGCTCAAACCCTATTTAACAGAGAGTCAATGATCAAGTTCAGCAGTCCAACTCTGAAGTTGTAGAGAGAAAGGGATTTGACAACCCTCCAGAATTGAGCCTTGGAGTTTCCCAAATTAATCTCTCAAACCCTGCTGCAAGTCAAACCCAGGAGGAAAAAAATTATGTGAGCAAGAAAACAAATTGTGTTTTTCAAAAATAACTTCTGCAAACAGTTGTTTACCAGTGAGAAAAGTATTGGAGGTAAGGATAAAAGGCTGCTTGACCGATAGAATCATCTAATTGGTTAATGAAGAGTGAGTTAGTTTCCTGAATGTTTTTAGGAAGGTGGTATTCTACACAAATGGACATGTCAGGTAGCCAATGGCAGATTTGTGGGGTAGCGGCATTTGGAAGCCAGTAATCATGTCGTGAAATCTTCAGGAATATGTGCAAACAAAATTGGCAACCGTTGGATGTGCATTGGGAGAAATGGGTGGGGGGGAAACATGATTGGGATGTATCAAATTATGAGGGGCATAGACAGTGTAAACAGGGATGAACTTTTCCCCTTGGTGGAGGGATGATTGACTGGGGACATAATCTTAAGGTAAGGAGGGGCAGGAGGTTTAGAGGGAATATAAGGAAAAAAAAAGTTCACTCAAGAGAATCTGGAACTCACTTCCTTCTAAGGGCGTTAGAAGCAGAAACTGTCATATATATAAGAATTATTCAGATGTACACTTACAATGCCAAGGCATACAAAGAAATGGGCCAAATGCTGGAAAATTAGTTTAGAATAGTTAGGTGGTTGTTTTTGACCAGTGCAGACTCACTGGGGCAAAAGGCCTTTTTCTGTGCTGTAGGCCACTATTACTCTCTGATTACTCTCCATTTAATGTCACCCCTTGACATGAGCCTCAGCATTAAACCATTTGGGGACTGCAGAAAGTGACTGAGACACTTTAATAAGATCAGATAATTAAGATTCACAATCTGTCATTGACGTGGCTACATAAAAAGCCCCTCGGTCTATACCAAAGGGTACAAGATAGATTCCAGAGCCTCACTCCAAATCAAGCTCACCAGCAAGCTCAGTTTCGATGTGCTGATGTATATACACAAGGCATCAGCCCCAGATTCTAAACTATAAACAGGATCACTCACAATTGCAAATAGCGTATAGAAACAATAAGCTTAAGTTTGTAAATTGGCCTCAGGACTCTCTTTTTCCTGGTGTAACTTTGCCTTAAAGCTATAGCCATAGTCAACAAACCAGATGATGTTGGAGGGCCGACCCTCACCCTAACTATTGCTGCTCATCACTGCACACAGCTCTCCGTCAGGCTATGGTTCCAGACTTACACATGGAGCAACTCCACTAATGTATAAGGAGCTCGTAGTGAATTGTCAGCCTGTTTTACCCAACTCCCTCTCTGGAAAAAAAAATTACAGGGCTAAAACAGGACATCATTTCCCTCTGATCCCATATGCCTAGGATGCCTATTTGGGTCAAACAAGATTCTTCTGCCAATCTGCAAAGGTGAGGGACCACATGTGCCACTAATTGAGAATCTCGAGGGTTGGATTTTATCAGGCCTTTTAAGAAAGGCTAGATATCCAGGAACTCGACGTCTTTGTGCCTATGTTACCAGTGGCAGAAAACTCAGGAGCACAGTTGCCTATCAGTCAGAAGCGGATGGTCAATTAATTTGGCCACTTCCTGACTCCCCTTAGCATGAAAGTATCCTTTTCCTCTTCCCACAGCCTCAGCCATGGTCATTTGTAATGGTGATGCTGCTGAGCGACTGGCCCTTTGATTGGGAAACACTTTAGGGATGGTTATCAACCTCAATTAGACAGAGATCCTGGGGTGGCCTCTTACTTAGTAGCCACCAGTAATATGCCATTCTGGATTCTGCTGCCCTCCACATGGGTCAGGTTCTGTTGGCCTTGACACTGGGATTATTTACATTTCCCAAAACATTCCAGCCTTCATTTCAATGAGTATAACTTCACAGAGGGCATAATGACAAGCTTCCAAATGGCCCAGTGGTGACACAACTCCTTGTTGCCATTTTGGAGGCTGACTGCAATTTGATTCAATTTTCACAGCGCACATGTCAGGGAAAATGACATTTACTCACCCAACAAACGTCTCCTGGCTGTAAACAGCCACTAGAAAAGCTCCAAGAACCAACAGGGCCCTCATTTTCAACAGGAAATGTGTCAAAATAGTTACCTTTCACTGACCCTTATAAAGATTTCTTATCTTAGTCCGAGTGCCTTTATTAATTATTGCCCAAAGTATATCTTTTTCCCTTACGTGTCTTTTGACTCCCTGCTGTCCAGTTCCCACCATTTAATGAGCTGAATTCAATCACACCTCCGGTTTCTGCCAGTCCCTATTTAGAATTCGCAACACCTGCTGACAGGGGACCTTGTTTTCTCTGCACCTTTGAAATTCACAGGACTTAAGGCTGATAACAGGTTTTAAGGATATGTTGTCATGTTTCATTTTGTTTTGAGGATATGAAGCTTCTATATTTCACTTATGTTCCTCTGTTCAACAAAGGATCTGCACTGACCATGACTGAGGCCAATACAGTGACAATACCTTCCTCCTCTCCACCCTGTAACCCACTCGGGCTTCTGCCAGGCCTACTCTCAAACTGTCACTCAGGTTGTTGTGAAAATACCAAGCTTTAATACTTAGCAACAAACTAAAAAACTTTGGACTTTGATATGACAGAAAATGGTTAAAAAAGACCTAGGACACTAAAAAGGCTGCCAAAGTCACCTGACCTGAAAGTAGCCAAGCTCAAGAAATAATTTACAAAGGAATGTCTGACTAACACAACAAAAGACGAAAGGCTGAAACAGGCCACTGCCTTGAATCTGTTTAGTACACGCTATCCAAGGGTAATTACCTGGACTCATTATGCAAAAGGTGGATCGGGTCACCCTCCCATCCCACACTTCACCCCACCCCCTCATCACTCTGAAAGCCCTCTGAGAGAGAAGCCATTCCTCTTTTTGGCTTTAAATGGGAGACCCATTCTTGAGATTGTCCCACTTAATTCTAAACTCCCAATAAGGGGAAACCTCTCAGCATCTGAGAATCTGCTCTCCCAGGTTAATACATCAGTAATCCTAGTAACCTATTAAAGGGCAGGTTGCTGGCTCTGCAAGGTTCTTTGGGCTCTGAGGTTTGCAGCAATGGTGGCAACACTCTGAGATTCCATGGCATCAAGCATGGGTCTCATGATCTCAGTCTGAACTTCCAGTACAGCATGGAAACGGTGGACATTTCTCCAGCTGTGCTGGAGAGAGGATTTCTAATGTGACAATTTCCAAGGAGACTGAAATATCAGCCTCTGGACACTACATCACGGGTAGTTCAGTTCCTCGTGGAGCTGGCCACAGATTGCTTGATGAAAATGCCAGGCTTCAGCACTGAGCAAAGCTCTGTGCCAAATTGGAGTAAGCCAGCTCCAGGCTGCTTGACAATGATGACAGGCCACCCATAAGGTCTGCCAATGCATCAAGCATCACGGTGTGCATCGATGTCAGCATCCTCCTGACTGCCACCTTGTCAAATCTCCAGAATCGATCTGTGACCTTGCCCTCCAGGGAACTGGCACATGGACCGTTCTTGTATGAATGTCTGACTGTAGCCCACTATTACCTGCTGAGTCACCATGTGTCAGGCCACAAAGCATAATGAAAGTGAGATAGAGATTGAGAAGGGGCGTAAGGACACAGACATATCATTGTCTAGCTTGTTCTCAGTGATGCTAAATGCCATGGTCTCTGTTCCAGCAGTCCTCATGGCATGGAGTGTGGTCTCCTCCAGAGGCTCATGTGATACAGCTGTGCCTGTGCCCCTCCCATTTTGCTCAGTTCCCTCCTGTCCTGGGCACCTTGTCCTGCATGTGAAAGGAGAGTGAGTCAATGAGCTTGATGCAATGTGTTTAGATGATGTGCCTCCAATAGCTGATGAGCTGGGGGGTATGTGGAGGCAGCAAGAGCTGACTGTAAGGTTGGCAACATTGAAAGACATGCAAGAGTGAAGTGGACTGGATGGTAGGTATGAGTTCTGATTGGCAACCAGCACATGATAGGACCTCAGTGCATTAAGCAATGTGAGAGGGTGATTGTGTGAGAGACAGAAGATATCCAGTGAGGATGCATTTACTGATCAAGTCAGGTCATTGGATATTTTGCAGTGTTGTTGCCATATCTTTGGGGCTAAAGTCTGGGATTTGACTTCCCTGGTTACGTTCTCCCATTCCTGTCTCAAAGTCTGCTTTGGTGTCTGCTGGCCCCCTGTGGAATCATTGTTTCTCCACCACTTTGCACGTCATATATTAATTCTTCCAGACCTACGTCAGAAATCCTCTGCACTGCTCCAATTGTTGCCTTTCTCCTTGCAGCTACTTTCTGTACTGGGAGTCAGCAGCAGCTTCTGTAAAATTTGCACTGCTCCCCTTTAAGACATGCCACCTAGCTGAAATATGTGCTAGCCACACACACAGCCAGAGACCCCTTTTCACCATCCAACTACTCAGAGGCACGTTCAGTGCTGAGCTGTACAGTGAAAGCAGCATGTAGCTGCCTTTCTCTTCCCAATTCCAGTCCCAGCTCTCCATTTGCACCGGTTGCTTTGAAGATCAAGAACCTTCTGACTTTTATGTGACCACATACGAATGACAGCCAGGGCAATGCCTGCTGATTTGAGCCAGAACGTGACCCACTCTCTTGGTGTTTTGGTAGATCAGTCTCATGTCCTGATACCCGCCCCCAGTGAAAAAATCCGGCCCACTGTATTAAGTTATAAATCAAGATCCAATATGAACTTGGCACTGAAAGTTGATCACAAGGAACACATTGAATAACAGCCATTATTTGTACAGCGATGTGCCCAAATGCAATCAAAGGCAAACAATCAACATTCAGCCAGAAATGTTCTACTGCAGCTGAAAGTAAACAGGAACTTCAACCAAGCAGAAGAAAAATGAAAAACATTGTTTTGCTTCTTTTAAAGAGCCTTTCCTTCCATGCACCAGTTAATCTATTCAGTAAATTAGTAAAGTTTATGGTGAAAGTATTCCTATTATCTTTCATTGTATGTGATTCACATTTCTTTTACACATCTCTTTCTCAATTTACATCACTCAGAAGTTTTTTTTCCCCATTCCAGCTTTCCTTTACCTTGTACAAATCCATAGGCGCTGGCTACTTTCCCTTGCACTCTATCAAATGGTGGCCTCACTGTGTTTGTGGGGTCAGCTGAAACAATTCATTAGATCATGGCTGATTCGCATTTATAGACACATTACTAAATGTTCCCTTAACCCAGTAAGATACCTCTTTCAATCCAAAAATATCAAAGCCAGTGTAATACTAAAGACCCTTAGTCTATTAGTGTCCTTCCATTATTAACCCCATTCAATGCTGATTCAACTAAATGCTGGTAGTGAAACTATTTTCCTCACTTCATTCCCAGTCTCAACCACGTTACAAAAAGGTCTGAATTACACAGGCCAATGTAAGAAAAAAGTTGTAACAAAACAGAAATTGCTGGAAAAGCTCAGCAGGTCTGGCAGCATCTGTGACGAGAAATCAGGGTTAACACTTTGGGTCCGGTGACTCTTCCTCAGAACCGCTCAGAGGAAGGTTCACCGGACCCAAACCATTAACTTTGATTTCTCCTCACAGATGCTGCCAGACCTGCTGAGCTTTTCCAGCAATTTCT